ATTCAAGTTTTCTCACTATTGTGTGACCTGGAAGAACTGATTTCACTATAATTGTACCAGCTAGGCTCTCACCAAAGGAAGTGAATGCTATGCCTTTTCATTCTTACAATGATTGTCCTACGTTCAATGACCTGAAGCAGTCTAGCATAAGAGTTCATTTCCTGATATTTCAGTATTTTCTGTAAACCCTCAAATAGAAACTCCAATTCCGAGAGGAAAATAGATGCAATACTGACTTTTTGAACTACTCAGAACATGGGCCCACCCAGGCTCCATTTCTCTTTTTCAGCTCGTGGCTCCTGCTCTCTGAGGTTGGCATCTAATACCACATGACTCAAATCAGTTTCCTCATATCTTTACTTCCTTTGCTTCTAAATCAAAACATTTCCCTAGTTCCATGGGGTTTTGTGTAACTTACTCATCAGTAATTTCATTTCTCAAATCAGTTCTCTGGGGAAAAGATTATTCATTTGTATCTTACAGATAAAAAAAAAGTGAGGTTCAGAGTTAAGGTCAAGCCTTGCCAAAATTCCCAACAGTCACTCTTGACTGTTCTACTTTGTTGTATCCTGCACTTAGTGGCTCAGAATATGAATCCATTCATCCACTCTTTCAATCCCTCGTTCCAGGTATGTATAATGGAGAAACCATTGCACCCTTTACAAGTTTATTTTGGAGTTTATATGTAAACAAGACACAGTGTTGAGCACAGAGCCATGGTGTAGTTCCCTTTTCATTTTTCTAGAAAGTAAGTCTGGGGGAAGGTGGAACAGATGGCCTTGGGAGGAAGTCTGGAAGTAGAGGCTCTGCTGTACGTATCGTGCTTTAGGATAGATGTTTAAATTAAATCTTTTAGTTGCATTTGTTTCCCATGATTACACACACACACACACATACACACACACACACACACATACACACACACACACACACACACACACATACACACACACACACACACACACACACAAAGACACTCTAGGAAAACTGAATTCACCAAGATCCAGCCTGCTGGCAGAGGATAAAAGTACTTACTAGTTTTTAAATATACCATTTCAGGGTGGGTAAAAGCACTACATACCTAGACTGAAACTGCTCAAATAGTAGCTTAAAAAGCTTTTCTAGAAACTGGTCCCGTGATTTGACCTCTTCCTAACCATGGGGTTCAACAATGGTCTGTCTTTCGCAGCCAAAACCTCTCAATTAATAGCTAAACTCTTAAACATAGATTAAAAAATCATTGTGCATATAGACCTCAGAATTCTGGCCAGGTAAAAAGAATAAACAGGACACACATGTACACACACACA